TCCGTAGAATTTTGTAATTTCTTGGATAACTTTATCAGTAAGTTTACCTGCTCCTTTTCCTCCTATTCCTTTATTGGTTTTATCCTTTTTAAGTCTGCAGAAACGTGTCTAAACTTGTATAAACAAATATATTAATAAAAGGGAGGCCAGGTATAAAGCCGACGGTACACAATAGGCCCGGTCTCTAACTGCCAACTCACCGCTCCGAACCGCTCTTTCTTTTACCTGCTGTATCTTTAAAACGACTTCGAATTTTCTAAAATCGCTTTACTACCGTATTCTAGACATGTTAAGGGAGCAATATAAAAAAAAAAAAATCGATTTTTTCAACCCATCACATAGGAAGACCCCTTAATACAGAAAACATGTGTGTGTGTGTGTGTGTGTGTGTGTGTGTGTGTGTGTGTGTGTGTGTGTGTGTGTGTGTGTGTGTGTGTGTGTGTGTGTGTGTGTGTGTGTGTGTGTGTGTGTGTGTGTGTGTGTGTGTGTGTGTGTGTGTGTGTGTGTGTGTGTGTGTGTGTGTGTGTGTGTGTGTGTGTGTGTGTGTGTGTGTGTGTGTGTGTGTGTGTGTGTGTGTGTGTGTGTGTGTGTGTGTGTGTGTGTGTGTGTGTGTGTGTGTGTGTGTGTGTGTGTGTGTGTGTGTGTGTGTGTGTGTGTGTGTGTGTGTGTGTGTGTGTGTGTGTGTGTGTGTGTGTGTGTGTGTGTGTGTGTGTGTGTGTGTGTGTGTGTGTGTGTGTGTGTGTGTGTGTGTGTGTGTGTGTGTGTGTGTGTGTGTGTGTGTGTGTGTGTGTGTGTGTGTGTGTGTGTGTGTGTGTGTGTGTGTGTGTGTGTGTGTGTGTGTGTGTGTGTGTGTGTGTGTGTGTGTGTGTGTGTGTGTGTGTGTGTGTGTGTGTGTGTGTGTGTGTGTGTGTGTGTGTGTGTGTGTGTGTGTGTGTGTGTGTGTGTGTGTGTGTGTGTGTGTGTGTGTGTGTGTGTGTGTGTGTGTGTGTGTGTGTGTGTGTGTGTGTGTGTGTGTGTGTGTGTGTGTGTGTGTGTGTGTGTGTGTGTGTGTGTGTGTGTGTGTGTGTGTGTGTGTGTGTGTGTGTGTGTGTGTGTGTATGTATGTGAGAGAGAGAGAGAGGGTGGTCTATGATATATCTATACATAAGATGTAAATCACTATAATTGTTAATATACGGTTTTTTATTTGGAACTAGATGTAAATAATTTTAATAAATTGGCTTTTACAAAAAAAACAAATATTTGAGTTTCTTTCCAGTTCAATAAGGTAGAGAACAAATATTAATACAAGAAATTTAACATATACATAATTTAATATAACATATATCCTACATATTTAATGATTTTTAGTTTACGTCCAAATTGTCCAGGAATTATGAACAACGCCTATTATCCCCTAGTTAAACAATTGGATTTATGAAAGAAACTGATACAGTTACACATTATATATCAGAGTGATAGCAACGTGCACAAATGCAAGTATGAGTATTTTAACTAGATTTGGAACTTAAAGGAGTCGAAAATGAGCGGTTTTAATAGCAACAATGAATTAATACCTCAGTTATGTAATGATATCAGCAATACTCAATTATAAAGGATTAAAATTGTTGGGTTTGCTATTTTCTAATATGAGAGTAGTAGATGCAAGTTAAGTTTCACGATTCGCAATTGCAACTGTTAAATGGTCCGTAGATAACTGAAAAGTTGTGGATTTTAATCCGTCACTAATGAGAATTGGCCCTGGCTAATATCTGCCGTCAGGGTAGTGGCTCATAAGTTAATTAAATAAGTGTTAAGAATACGGTATGTTGGTATCAGTAAAGATAATACAGTTATGTAATATCTGTGAATCTTACATGACTGTATGAATATAATACTGTCAGCTATATAATATTTGGAATATCAAGTTTACAATAAGTTATTTTTAGTGTACTAATTTTTATTATTTTCGAGACTTGTATTCCGCAATGGTCGCCTGAATACGAATATACCTTTTATTCGAATTCAGCCTTTTTTTCTAGTCTAAGTGCACTAATCTAGGATATCAACAATGAGTTTAAGTAGTATATAGATAAATCATTCCAATCTGTCGAGTACATTTTGTGTGAAAAAGTATGAAACAGTGATGTATGGATGGGCCATTCTTATACTTTCGTGTTGATAATATCAGTAGATTATTATTATTCAATCTCTACTATAAGTATTACAATATGAATCAGTAGTAGTATAAATTTATCTGTCTGATATATGGTATACCTCTACAGATGCAATATTGAGGACGGGTTCGGCGCGAGGCGTCTGAACAGGAAATGGCTCGCAGATGAGTTGGGCTGTAACCCTTAAGCCACTACCACATATACTTTACGATGGTAGATATTATCGCGATTTATTTTTGCGATATCAATACATATAAATTTTACATTATACGATGCTGTGACTACTTAATTATAGGAATATTTTCCCAACTAGGAGGAATTGACAATGCAGGGTAAGAATAAATTTGTCAAATCATTCCTAAGAACAGAATTGACAGGATAAAAAATTGACAGGACGCCAAATAGCATGATTGTACACAATAAACATTTTACTGTAATATACTCGTATTTATTTTTACTATTGTATTAAGGTAACATAAATTATCGTGAGATTTGCTATTTTTGTTGATAAGGATATTACTCAACGTCGTGAAGCTTATGGTCATGTGGAAGGAAAAAGTCTTAGCCTTTTTCCTTCGCGGACGCAATGTAAATGCGGTGTAAATGCTGGACAGCACAGCACAGCTTAATAGCTCTTTATTCTGCGTGATCCTGTGGCCTAATGGGCATAGAATCGCACAGAATGGAGAGATATGGCGAAGAGATCAAGCCGAAAACACGTTACTCAAATAATGGGGGACCCAATACAGAAATATTTCCCATTACCATACACCTAAAAATTAGGAAAACCCTACTATTTCTTAAAATGAAGTAAACTTTATGACCACATCTGTTCAAAAGAATCCTAAACAATTGGAATATAATCTGAAAAATACACTCGTGAACTTTCTATAAATCTTTGTAAATATATATATATTATAATCTAGGACAGATTATAACATGCATATCTAATGTTTATCTTAATTTACGCTATAAAGCCGTGTGTTACTGATAGTAATGTTTACATTTATCGTGGCATTATTAGCGACCTGTGTGTTACAGTCTTTACTATGATGTCAATTTGAAATTTATTCGTAGAACCACAGATAATACAATATTACAGTAGAACATAACGGTTTGAATAATTATATAAAACATTAATCAACTTAAGAAAGTACATAAGTTAGTACAGTAGGTGTATACTATTTCATTCGACCACACTTATCATGGTATATAGAATGTTCAACCACAATACTATTGAACCACTCCAGATGTTTGTATTTACTTGTTATTTGACTCTAAAGACTTACTACTATGATTGTATTTCAACTATCTTCAACAGTCTCTCAATGAGGTCATTCATCTACTTTTTAGTATAGTAGTTTTCCGGACCAAACAAACTTACGCACGTGAAGACGAACATAATAATAAAGCAAAATATATAGTTTATATTTTGCTTAAAAATACCAGCGGTGCGCAAATAACATTAACTGGTGCATCGAAGTTGCGTGTCCAATAAGCTAGACGGCGGCGTCGGGTTAAACGTTCGTCGATGTAGAATGCCGGCGATGGTTAGCGGCTTTCTTGGAACTCGCAGGTTACTGGGCTACTATTAGACCTCTTCTTTCGAATACCGCTACCTGCCTCCCTCTTGCTAACCGTATGCATCGGCACAAAAAGAAAACAAAACATCAACGTAAACTGACCGTCTTAATTTAACAAAAATGTGAATTGTTCTTTTATTCTCGGTTTTTTAAACGTTTTCCTTTTTTGATGTTAAGTAACTACCCAAATAAATATTTAAATAGTAAACTAACTTTTCACCCATTTCTTTCGATAAAGTGGGCGTACTCCTCCGTCCTATCTCTCGAAAGCTCTCTTTATGATAAATGAATGGGGAAGTGACAGTGACACAGACGCAGGTTGCACCCTCGGGTTTCGGTGCGCTGCGATAAAGACTCAATCACCTGCCCCTGACAGACACCACCAACTTATTGGGTTGGTAGGTACATCGTCGCCGGTCTAATAAAGAAAAATCTGTTTACCAAATAAATATGCATTATTAAGGAAGGTGTGCCCTGTATCGATAAGCTCATTTACATTATTTATATTTTTACCAGTTATAAAGTGAGATTTTACGAAATTTAAACTCTCAAGTCATGGAATTCAAAAACTTGAGCCTTAATGAAATATAGAGCGATAAAAGGATAACATTTTATTTGGAGGATTTATTTTGATCTCTTGAGAGAGTTGGGTTGTTTCTAAACTGAACGGAATCGTAATCATAATGAATATTACTTTGAGTTAAGACGTTTTGACAAAGAATGTAATGAAATTAGCTAATATTTTTACTATTCGCATCCATGTCCACAATTTTATTTATTTTCCGTAATGTATAATGATGATACCTTATGATCTATGATAAAATTTATGCAGATTAACGATTGTGATAGCGGCGTCATTTTATGAGTCGTCTTCAAAAATAATATGTGGAATAATTTGTGATTTCATTTGACATAAAAGTTTAATTAATTTGAAAATATTAGATTAGAGTAGATGCTGGGATGCAGAATAACTTAAATAGTTTTTCCAGTTAATTATTCATTTTTGTATTATTTTATATAGAAATTGTTTATATTTTGAAAGAATGTAAATATTTTGTATACAATATGTAAGTTTAGGCGCGCGCACACGGGTGGTAGGCAGCGCGGCGGCGGTGGCGGTGGCGGAGCGGAGGTGCGGGGCCTCATCCGAGCCATTCGGCTGACGGCGGGCGCCCTTGTTCGCGGCACGGCGTGGCTCACTCAGTCGACGTCTCGCTACGAGGGACGTTTGTCGCTCCGTTTTAGACCTTACGATGACTGTTCGCTAACCTTGCAATAAACATCGCATCTTTCGCGATATGTTACACACTCCATTATACCTTGTAAAGAGACATAAACTGTAATTAAATCACACGCCTTTTTATCATATTATATGAAACCGGCTCCGAACTTGACCTGTGATTGTTTGTCCGAACTGTCAGTGCGCGTGTTGTGCTTTATCGATAACATAACCTGTACGGCTTCAAGGGCACGGCAGACCATTGCTAGTTTGTAGTGTTTGGATGCGGTGTTGCAGAGCTATGCGAACGGATCTATTCTAGATGTTCTTGTAAATGTAAGTGGGCGTATTCGAAAGTTTGAAAATCGATCGGGTGACGTGCGTGCGTGGGATTGCGTTTACGTAATCTTTGTTTACCTTGGGAATATGCACTGTGCAGACTGCTTACTGTGATTCCTGTCATTTGACAACACCACAACTCCTGTAATTGACTCGAGACATAGGTAAGTTCCTTGTGCGATGTTTACAAGATTGGTTCAGTAATACTTTTAAAAGAAGCTTTATGTATTCATATTTAATCAATGTATATTCTTATATATAAAATTCTCGTGTCACAGTTTTTGTTCCCATACTCCTCCGAAACGGCTTGACCGATTCTCATGAAATTTTGTGAGCGTATTGAGTAGGTCTGAGAATCGGCCAACATCTATTTTTCATCCCCCTAAATGTTAGGGGTAGTCCAACCCTAATTTTTATTTTTTCATTTTAAGGCAAAACAACGTTTGCCGGGACAGCTAGTACCTATATACTTATTGCTTTTTATTGATATGTATTTAGAATCAAATCGTAATATTGAATAATAATTAAATTCCCTTAATTATAATAAATGTATAATTCAATGCCTATTTGTAAATAGTATGTATGTATAATATGTAGGTATATTACAACAAAAGTTTGGACAACCATCAAAGAAATTTTTGAGCAATGTACCTATTTGTTAATAAAAATAAGTTATTTTTTTATATAACAATTTACAATAATGATAATATACAATGTTTCAGTGAAAGTAATTCGGCTTTTTTATAATGATGGGAACCTTTCTATAACGGCCTACACTTTGGCAATAAAATGGTTCTACAGTATCTACGTGGGATGAAAAATACTTGCTTCTAAAAAAGACCCTGCTAAAATTTATTTTGGTCATTATTTATTTATCGAAATCCCGAGTTATTCTAACAGTTATTCCATAAAAAATCCATGACTGTGTGTTTCAAATATATGAGTGTGTGTATTTTTTTTAAATAATTTAATGTATTTTTAGGAATAAATTAAAAAATATTAGCATTGCATCTATAGAAACTAAAAGGGTGTGAAATGTCATACTCTGTCCGCGTAAATTTCGTAATCGGGGTACAAACTTTTTGCTTGACGTATTATTGATATGTATAAAGACAAGTAGACAGATGAGAGAATCCACTTAGCATTAAAGGTATTTGTTATCCAATAAATTTCTGAACAATTGCCTCCATCGTAGTATAAAAAAACTTATAAAAATATAGAACCTAAGTTATTTTTGGTTCAATTAGTACTATAAATAAAAGTACAATGTTTGCATAATTTGTCTTCTATATCTGACAAAATAATAATACTGAAAATATGTTATTGTATCTAGTATTGTGAAGAGGGGAATTTCACAAAGAAAACAGGTTTTACGTTACAATATTCGTGAGAAAAATACAAAGCCAACAGGATTGTACATTTTTTATTACTGTAATAAAACAACGGTATAATAAAGTAACGGTCAATGGATATCATATATACAAAAGGACATAATAATGGAAATAAATACATTATTGTTGTATAAACCTACATAGTATATATGCTTAAGGAGTTGTACTTACTTACAGGATATTCTTCGTATTTATTTATTTATTTATTTATTTCTATATGTGTATTGGTTTCTATATCTATAAAAGGTGCTATTACGAGAATATTCATCGAGTAATAATACAACAGAAGTTTTTGTATTGCAAGCATAAATAAAATTATAATTATTGCTATCCATAAAACATGAACTGTAAAAATCGCAATTAAACTTGAAGGAACTATCGGACTTGAACAGTCCTTCTTGTTTTGTACCAAGAATGTATGAATATAGACTATGCAAAGAAAGTGTATCGATTAAGGCGTTTTACGGTATCTACATATATATATAACTGTAAAGAAATGGCAACTCTTTTGATAATTTCATAGTTATAACTCATGGGAGTTAAGATCTAATAATACTAAGAACACATTACGGTATTATATATAAATTTATTCAATACAAATTTAGGAAATACATAAAATTTAAATATTTAAAATGTAATGTTAAGTATTTAAAATGCAAATAAAATACCTAACACGAAATACTTAGATACGTACTACGTCAGAAACAGAAATATCTCTTAAGGATATCATTAGTCTCTGGGGAAATTAGAATGAATTACGACAGTGTAGGTTGAATTATCTATATATTAGGTATATGATCATAAAATCGTATACTTAGTTTAATTTAACATATATGTATAATTATTATACATAATAGTATATTGAATGTTGTGCCATATTAATTGGTTGGCCCTATTTCGTTATACAACTTCAAAACTTAGTAAATACAAATAGTTGTTAATTTATTTTCACTAACTTTCAAGTTTATGAAACAATTATTATACAACTATTCCACAACCGCACAACCCACTTTGGAAACTCCTGGACCTAATATATTTTAATAAAAAATACTGATTCACAAATTCAATGTTTTACAATAATATTATTGTTACTTATAGAATTAAGAACAATTTGGGATTGTTCTATTCATTATAAATGCAAATATTGAAAGTAAATAATAAATACTGAAATTAAAACAAATTACAATTTTGCAAAATATACAATATAATATTTCCGTGATTTATGTTAACAGAAGTAGATAGTATTGTCTTAATTTTTATCCTCAAGATTGTTTGTACCGTCTTATTCTCAACAGATAATGTATAAACACAGTAGCATATTCATTTTTAGGTTACTCAATATCAAAATGGTTTAGCCCTTAAACTGTAAAAACGAAATTATTGCATTATTTTTACAAATACGATAATAATATTGATATGAACGCAATTAAATAACCCTCGTTTTTACCGTTACTTAACCAGAATTAACTTAATTCTAGAATAGCCTTAATTCAATTAAAACTATTATCTGCGTAATTGAAGTTCTATTTGTAAACAAACTGAATAAACTACCTATTACAAAAACGTGCGATTCTAAAGTCTATCGTGGTATGACTCAGAGTGATGCCATCAGTTTATGACTGTATAGTGTATACAAAAGCACAGATGATATAATAATACCAAATTATACCACATATAGGTACACCTACTGCGAAGTATTTTACATTTTACTTATATTAAATTGAAGAATGTTTGGAATTGGATAATATAGTGAATAGTGAGAAATATATAGAAGATAGTGATAATTATTAACATTCTAAATAAAAAAATCCGATTTTATAAAAAAATATTTCACTGTTATAAATGTACCTAAATTATCACCGAGTGACATAGACTATAATATATCACCACACTATGACCAATAGGAGTGGAGCAGCAATGAAAATTGTAGGAATAATATTCATATTGAGTGCTTCCACTGCGTGCGCTGCCTAAACGGCTAACTTGACACAAAAAATATCTATGACGAAATTGTTCTTTAAAAGTCCTAAAAAAAAGTCTACGACAACATATGCATAAACGTCTATCTTTTAAGGTCACTCATAACCATTTTTTGGTAATTTGTTTATTAATGCATTACTCATGCAGTTTTTTTTATAAACCTGATATAAAAAAAATAATACGTTAGTGCCGAACTGTTTAAAAGTTAAACAAACATTGGGCTCGTGAGAATAAATTACAAAAAAAAATTCTTTGTTACTTGTACTTTGTTCTTTGTACGTGAATTACGTACTTATATACCTAATACTTTAATTTAATACAACGTTTATTGATTCTGAGGCGGTATGAGGTTATAATTAAAAGAAATATCATTGACGTAGTTAGTTGTATAAGTAAATTAATTCGTAACAACGCCCCCGTCACGGTAGCAACCATGTCCTGGCTAATGTACTCTGAATGCAAAGACTACTAACGTCCCACATTACCGCTCCCGAGGGACTCAGTACCCTACGCTATTCGCTTCCACCTACACGTACTATGTATTCTGAACATGAATAGCCTCGACTTGCATTGATGTTATACGAGGATAATGTCCGATGACGCAAAATATTATGGCCGCTATACAAAACAGCTGGAAACTATCGAAACATCTAGTTTTAAGTCACGTCTTAAATTTGTAGATGACGCGGCTAACGTTATTATTTACTATCGTATGGTTTTTACGAAACAAATAATATTATCCCACAGAAAATAAGCTTGTTTGTTTTAGTGACCGAGTGCGCAACAGTCTTCTGCAAATATCCATCACCATAAGTTGCGGGATAAAAAGGATGACCTCCTTCTAACCCTAAATCTCATTATTTATGGTTCAAAGCGTCCCTTTTGCTTTATCTTCTTCAATCGTAGTTGTTTTCCCCGTCAAGTCGACAGGTAGCTCAACCCACCATCGACAAAAGAGTTTCCCTTTCAATTCACAGGATCCCACATGTTAAAATTAGACAATTAAATCAAATTAAACGTTGTAATGGTCAGGTTAAAGTTTAATTCGTTTTCACACAACTACATTGTCATTGTAAAGTATTACGTATCAAGATTGACGTAAAATGGAGATGGAGGTCAGACTGGTTATTATAATTAATGTGTAGCTGAGTCACATTAGTGAATTATAATATATGATATTATATTTATCATAAATACAGCCATCCAACTATTTCTAAATTATAAAATTGAACTTATTAAGTATAGTTAAAGCTTTAATTATTGTTCTTAGAATTAGATTAACGTACCTCTTGCTATCTAGTACTACCAAAGTGAAATTGAAAAGTAAAATTCGTCATTATTATAAATAAGCTGAATATTATAAAATAAGCAAGCCCATGATAAATTCTGAGTTTCATTATTTTGGGAGTTAATACGAAATAATATTAGATAAATAGCACCTACATGATACTTATGCGTAATAGTTAAACGAATAAATTAAAGATTATGTCATACAGAAACTTGTTTTGAATTTGTATATCATGATAGAATGGTATGTTTGTTTACCTTAACATTGTACCAGGGTACGGGAGACTAGAGAGGATAACAGAAAAAAGATGAAATCAGAGTATTCCACATATCGTTGAATGTTCATAAAGCAATGATGGTTTCCAGGAAAGATGGCATTTAGGCTGACATTACAGGATACAGGATACAATATACAGGGATAGGATATGAAGACATTCCTATGATAATTTCAATACTAACTTTTCATTCATGCAAGTCTTACCTATGAATCTTAAGTAACTGAGATT